AGGAATGGCAGCAACCACCAACTCCCCCATGCCCACCTGTGGTTCGACTCAGCTGGAGCCAAAATGGCATACGGAAAGAAACCTCAACCACACTCATGCATTGTCAACTCCACAAAATTGTGTTCTCTCAACAATATGTAAATAGAATTTAATTAGAATCAAATTAAAATTAGTAAAGAAGGCAATGCTCCTGACACCCACGCTCCACTTCCGTAGGGTGATGTCGGACTCACGCGAGGCGGCCGCCTGGCGCGTCGGCCCAGCCCCTTCGGTGTGGCAAGAACGGGCAAAACAGCAGATTCACAAAGATGGATCCCTTTGTGCATGAGCAAAAGGTGAGATCATTCAACCTCAAACGTTGAGTCCTCACTCAAACAAACAAGGAGAAAACTTATCCGACCTCAGCAAGAAAGGGAAAAAAACTGTGGATCATGCTGCAAAACCAATCATGGCACAACCCACAACCTTTAAAGACACCAAGCTGGCTCCAGACGGCTCCGCTCGCTGCTTCTCCCCCCCCCCCAGCCGTGTCGAGGTAGCTGGGGCCAAAGCCTGGAGCGATCGGCCCCGCGTTCGTCGGTGCCTTTTGGGAGACCTCTCTCGTGGCTCACAGCTGTTCCCTGCTGGTCCATCTTCGGTGAAACATGTAAGCATGCAGGCATGCAGAAGGCCGTAGGCGCTCGAAGCATGAAAAAACAAAATTTAGGATTCGTCACATCCGACTGCACATCTTGATCATCTTGGCAGCTCCCTCTGTACTTTTGTCCCAGCCACCGTCTTCAGAAACTTCTCGGCGGAAGCGCGCAGGCAGCCAGGAAGATGTGTTAGGGGACCGCGGCAAACCAAGCGAGCCAGACTGAGGTGAGCCTCATCTGTGGCAGCTCATCGGACAGACCGGAGAAAAGAAGCGTTGGTTGTGGGGGAGGCCGCGTTCTCGCGCCCTTGTCCCCAACCTCTTGAAGCATAAACCAGTCGCAGTCTCTCTGGTGGGTAGTGATCCCCCTTGTTGAAGGGACAAACACGCGCAGCACCTTCGTTGCCTCAAGAAAAAAGGGACTCCCACTTCTCCAGTACGGCTCAGACCTTCTCTGTCTTCGATGTCCGGACCACGGACAGGAACAGGACACGATCTGGCGGATTCATGCGGATTCCACATACATTGGTTACATCGGTCAACTCTGTTATCATGTGAGCATTTTCCAGAAACCTACTGAAAATTGGTTCCAATGGGTTCATTCTTTCGCAAGTTCCTTTCGCAACACTTTCGCAGCTTGTGTGTTGGCTTTCGCGCGATGCTTTCTGTGCAAAACCGGCTTCGCAAGCGGTGCGCGCACGGAGCGTGTAAGCGTTCGCACGCTCTTTCCCATATGAAAAGTGTCACAAAGGCGCGGGTTCAACCTCTCGTTGAATGAATTGCTTCATGGGAGGCTAAATCAACCGTGCCTCACCATAACCTGAATATACATGATCTCAATCTCTGGCCCAAGCCTGCGCGCGCAGAGCTGCACTCGCCCGTGGAGCCCCACACCTTCCCTGCATTTGTCAGCCAAGTTGCTGGGGTTCAATTGGTAACAAGCAGCGATCTTAGCCATCAATATGCTGGGTCCAACCGATGGTCAAGACACTGAACAAGCCACACCTCCTACTTTTGCCGAGCTGATTCTCCAGTTCCAAAAAGATCGAAGGCAGTCTTCTGTGGCCCTTTATCAGCTACAACGGGCCCCAAGACCGTGATCTCAATGGCCCTTGCGCTTCCAACCGGTTTGCGCTTCCAATCAGTGTGTGTGTGTGTGGGCATGACGACACGGTGCCACCCAGCCACACTCTTCGAGGAGCTCTTGGAACAGTCGCGGCGGCCTAACACCGTCGGCAGCGGGCCATAACAGCTTGGGCTGGGGCCCCGAAGACCTCTCAAGGCAGCAACCGGCACTGCAACTCAAAACGACCAAGTCCTGATCAACAAAACACCAGGGCTACGAAGCTACGCAAGGCTACGGATGGCTATGCTGCTATTTCTGTGGCACAGTTCTTTCGGGCCTCACCACTCTGAGAGCAGGGAGGGGAGGGCAGAGGAAGGAAAGCAACTGCAGTTTGCACCAAGCTTAAAAGCCCAGCCAGTTAGCAGTTCACAAGTCCGCCCCGGTCCCAAGCCTTGTGGTGAACTACGTTCGCGTGGCACCGTCAGCAACATGAACGCGGCACTGTTGGTGCTCTCCACGACCTGCATTGACAAAGCGGCGTCCATTGGCAGGCATGTACTGGGAATGGTGAATGGCCTGTATATAGATGGTCTTCTTTTGCCTATCTTCCTCTGAAAAAACATCTCAAATACCTGGATTTGGTCATCTGCTGACCAGTGACCAGGCCGGACAAATGAAAGGACTCCTTTTCCACTATTGGACAGAGGCTGACTGAAGTGTCAATACTAATCAAATCTTCAAACATGCTCTTTCTGGACCTTCCAACAGCCTCTCTTTGAGGTCCTTGAAATGCGGAGAGGAGCTGAGTTGATTTTGGCATCCATGGTCCATCGATGCATAAAACGATGAAGTCAGATCTTCAGACGATGTCAATTTCCTGACCAGCCTCCATATCCAGCTGAGGACGACTCTCAGGTGAAAGAGGAAGGCTAGGATTGCTGCTGGTGCTCCTGGCCAACTCGGAGGAACTCAATTTTCGTCATCCACAGCTGGAGCCTCTCCACCCTATTGGACCTATCGAAACAAAAGGCAGCTGTTTTGGGCGATGGCACCGGTCGTACCATCACCATGTGAGAAGCATATAGAAGAACTATGCCACAACAACAACAACACCGTTTGGTGTTGCTTCTCTCAACCAGCACTATGCCGCCCAGATCGCCGCCCGCACCATGCCCAGCCCCGCATCTCCTATCCATCTGAGCCTTGGGGGCCGACATGACGGGACGACTCATCGGCTCATCGACTCATGACCGTTGATCCATCGGCTGCCCCCCCAGAAGACATGGAGTGGAAAAGCCTCAGGAGTCAGAAGAGGGCTTTATTCATCAGGAGTCTACATTAGGCCCATTAGGCTCTTAGGTTCTGAGATCTTTGTCGTTCTTGGCTGCTTCAACCATGCTAAAGACCAGCCGAATACAGTTTCCACTGGGGCAATCGGGTGGGTCTAATTATCCGCCGGAGGCCCATCGGTGACATCAGAGAAGTGACCTCTGTGGATATGGGGCTCGGCTCAGCTGTGGAGGCAGCCCTCCCGGCCTCAGAGCAGAGTTTGCCAAGAATGATTCCTCCAAGGGGCACATCGGACGAAGCTTTTTTATATAGGGATCTCTCTCTCTCTCTCTTTGAGAACGCCTTTGAATGATGCCCAAGGCCCAGAGGTCATCCACCAAAAGGGTCCAGCAGAAAGGTGAGCAGTTTGTAGAAAACCGGCTGCAAGGAAGCATCAAGGACTCCGTCAATCCGTGATCCCCAGCTTGGGTCCCCGCTGTGTTTTCCTTGAAGGTCACGACAGGTGCAAATGCCATGGTGTCCAATGCCTGGGGTTGTCTCGGGCAGTGGACAGCTCTTACATTTCAGTTACTCCACATCCAGTGCCCAGAACAGTCTTCCACTGCTTCCTATACCTCCAAGGGTAGCAAATGACAAGGATGCTTGCAAACGCCAGTCAATTGGGGAGCTCTTCCCTTGAATTTGCCACCAAGATGCAAGGATAAGGATCCTTAATAAAATATCGCACCGGCTTTGTCTCAGGTGTTCTTCTACCAAAGGCGCTTTGGGTTGTCCAAGCACAGCCGCACTTGTTGGCAGCTATTCCAGGACCGATGCGAATCCAAGAGATTCGGGACTGCTGTCGATGTACTCATTTGGTGTTCGATCCAGTTCCGGTTTCTCGTTGATGCTGCCATTGATGCTTTCCCTGAACATCAGTTTCACACACGTCCTCTTGGATTCGCCTCTAACAGCCACAGCTCTCCGGTGGCTTCTGAGCCAAGTGCAAATGCTGGGAAGAGCGATGAAGGGCCTGGTGCTTGCTGAACCTGGAAGAGGCCCTGTGGCAGCGACTGGGCCAACAGGGTTGTTGGCAGAAGTGTGAGGCCACCCATCAGGATCAGCATCTAGACATGTCCACCCACCCACCTGCAAGCCCAGTGCATGGAATGAACCAATGCCCTGACTGAAGAAAAAAACGGGTATGAGGCTGTGAACTTCCTGACTGGCACCGAGACAATGGTCTCGCCTGTTCCCGCTTGGGGGTGCAACTTCCTGAGCTTCTGATCAGAGGATCATCGCATTCCTTCAACCCACCCAAAATCCTGCCCAGCATCCCATGCTCTGAAAGCACAGTACTGCAGTTGATGGTTGCTTCGTCTTGGCCCTCACACACACACTTTAGAAAAAAAGGCCGAGGCCGAGACCCAGGCCATCTTCTCCACTTTCAAAACCCAACACGATTCCAAACATCCAGCCTGAATCAGGTCCCGCCAGAAACCTCCAGAGAAGACTCAAGCACTGGTCACTTGCCATTTGAGGCGATGCTCAAGCACCCATCCCGCCCAGTCGTACCCGTCGTCGCACCTGTGCCGGCCGAGCGCAGCGCCGGCCGAGCTTGGAGCCGAAAGCGGGGAGGGCGTCACGAACAAGACGAGCAGAGGGCGTCACGGGAACACACTGCTTTTAGAAAGCAGCATCTTCCCACCTCTTGCTCTTCTCCTGTTGGTTGAAAGCACATTGAACATCTCAAACCTGGCTTTGGATGGGTCATCGACCCTGAAAGCTGAAACAGGCAGAATGCAATTAGAGCTGTATATGGCAAGCCTAAGGAGAAATCCTGTGCATGGTTGACTTCGACTCCCCCACTTCTTTACCTTCTTGTTGTAACCTTGCTGGGCAACCATGACGATATAGAGAACTGTCTCAGGACAGGTGGGGCTCCAGTACCCCTTCTTGCCGCCTAACCATGGCCTCAGAAGCTCATCTTGAAATGATGAAGGAATTGAATTGGAGAACATGTTTCCAAATCTCACATAGCGCAGTCACATTTATCACACAGCATTCCAAAAATGAACCCAGCACCACCCATCAGGCTCTCTCTCTCTCTCTCTCTACCCTCTTTGCACCAGTGATGCGCACGACCTCCCTGTCTGTCAGGAAGACACGGAAGAGCCCGTCAGCGCCCACATTAGTGACCTGCCCATTGACCAGTACGTCCTGGCCCGGCCAAGGTGATTGCACCAACCAATCCTTAGCAGCAAGCCAGTCTCGGAAAACTAGACTACAGTGATAGATGCCGAAAGGAACTATGGTTCTCCTCACCCCAGGCTGGGAGATCCTGTTTTTCTATGCAGTGGTCCGCTTCTATGAACTGCTCAAGATGGGTTGTTTTGGGCCAAGGCCTCTCCTCACACCTGCAAGCAGAAGTCGCCTACAGCTTGGGTTTACATATGCAATTGAACCTTCAAGACACAGCGCGATTTCGCCGCTTCCGGCAGATTTCGCCGTGTCCGGTTTCCCTCGACCCTGGCGCCCAGGCGCCGTGCGCACCACCGAAGGTTCCTCCGAAGGGGTCGGAAGTTCCAGCTCAATTTCCTGCGTCGCCGAGTGATGCGTCGCCGATGGATGGTGAGAGTGGATCCTTGAAACGAAGGCCTACGGTCAAACATCCCTCCCTTCATGCCCCTTCATGTCCAACCGTCGGGTAAGCTTTAGAGTGTCCTTAAGTCTTGTGAAGGAAACAGCGCCCCTCTCTCTCTCTCTCTGTGTTCGCTTCCGTTGAGCTTGCCATGACTCACGCAGACCCTCTGAGAAGTCTGGCATGCTGAAGGTGGCTGACTTCCTCAGTTTCCCTCCAAACTTTTGCCACCAGTACACTTGACATATGGAAAGAACAATCCCCAAAACAGCTCTCAAGCAGGTTTCTCAAGTGCAAACCGCGTCCTCTAAAAGGACAAAAGCGAACCGTCAAGGTCCAAGGGCGTCCACGCGCCTCTTTTCCTAGGCTCCAGAGCTCGAGCCCCTCCACTGCGGAAAGGGGGTTAGTCACAAAAAGGTCAACAAGAACCTCATGCTCACATCGGTACACCTCCCTGACCTTTTTGGTCGTAAAGTGGGTGGTACACCGGCATGGGCTCTTCACAGTCCCAAGGCCAATTATGCTTGGCCGCGAGTCCTCTCAGGGTGTCCACGAAGTTGGCCTGCATCTCGCGCCATTTCTTCTCCAAAGCTCTCTTGTGGATCTTTCTCCCTGCCTCGAACTTGTCATCATGAACCAATCTCCAGAACTGCTTCTGCGAGAAGAACTGCAAGATCGTCTTGCGGGCTCCGAACTTGGTGAGGGAGTCTCCAAGCTGTGCCAATCCGTTCACCCATCGAAGCTCTGTTCCAGCTCGAAGCGCCTGATTCACCGCCAAGGTGAGCTCATATCCGGCTCTTGAATCTCTCAGTCCATGCAAGGATGAAAGGTTCCGGGTCATCGCGTCATAGATGCCGCGGGAGTCCATCACAACCGCTCCAGCCACCACCTTCACGGCGTCATGGAGCTTGTCTCGCTGGATCTTCTCTCCAGCAAACTCTGCCAGCAGCAACCTGATCTGGTAGTTCTGATCCTCCCCCATGGTTATTGCCTGAACCTCTGCTCCATTAGATCCAAGGCACTGTCGCGGAGTCTTTCCGCTCTTCCATTGCATCAAGGCCACTTGAACTTCTTCACCAAGTAGGGCTTGGCGGGGAGCCACACCAGACAAAATGCCAGCCGTGCTGCTCCGATCTGGTCGGTTATGTTGTGATGCGTCAGCCCACGTGATCACTGCCAGGTCATACACAGACTTGATGTTCCATGTTGACGGAAAAAGCAATCCCTGGCCACTCTCACGTTTCATCTCCCGGATGAGGCGGTTCACCTTGTAGAGAGACTCAATGGTCGCCCGGTTGATCTCGCTCAGCAGCAAGGAAGCTTCTGCAAGATACTGCGGGCCAGTCTGCGTCGCCCTCCAGCTCACAGTTCCAAGCGCTCCTCTCATCGCAGAAAGTTCAGCCGCATTGAGAGGTGTCTTTCGAGCCTTCTCCTTGTCAATCTCCACCTCTTCAAGCCATCTCTTGGAGTACTTCTCTTGGTTCAAGATAATGCTCATATCCTGCATCTGGCGGATGTTGCAACCGGCGAACTCAAACTCGTTCTCCTCCCACTTGCCCCATCGAAATGCCTCGGCAAGTGCTTTCTCTCGGGACTTGTAGTGCTCGGAGTCCACCAAACCAGCCAACAGGAAGTCATCCACATGAATACCTGCCAGACCATGTATTGATGATGAACCATCTTCTTCAACACGTAGGAGCACAAAACAACATTTGTCCCCAAGGAGCTGTGTCCATCCCGTGTCCTGCATCACCTGAACGCACCTCTCGTACCACTTTCGTGGTGCATGTGCCAATCCGTAGAAGGCTTCACGGACTCGAAGTGCTCGTTGATCACCAGGACTTGCTCCAAACATGGCTGCTAGCTCCGGCGGTGCCATGACATTCAGCTCCTCATCTTCTAAGCTTATGCCAGTCTGCAAGAACGCGCTCGTCACATCACCGGCCTTGACCTTCATCTTCAGGGCTGCAGCTAACGTCAAAATGACGTTGCGACCGACCTTGGACATGGTCGGCGAGGCTGTGGCCACTTCAGTCAAATTGTGCGCCATAAAGCCTAAGACCACAAGGCGGGCCTTGGCCGTTCCATCGCCCTTTCTCGTGAGCACCCATCGCATTCTCATCAGCTTGTTGGCATCGAGGTCCTTATTCTCCTTGGTCGTGAGATTCCTCAAGGCTTTGCTGATGACAACTTGGGACAACTCCCTGGCCATCGCCAAATCAAACTCTTTCTTCTCGGCCATCGACAGGGTGTGCCACTCCACCTCAGTACCTTTGGCTGACATCTTCTTGCTTAGCCACACTGTTCCACGATGTCGATCTTTGTTCTTGGCAAGCCACTCAAAGTCCTTCTCGTCAACCTCCAAGGTGAAGGAAACGAAGGTCTCTTCCTCCTTTGGCTTTTCCACCGCTGCTCGCCGGGATCGGCGATTTGGCTTCTTCTCCACCAACATGAGCTCTTCTGAGGATTCTGACCGTGCCGAAGACGAGGATGATGAACTGCTTTCTGACTCGTCACCGTCGGCTGCCTCCACTGGTGCCTTCTTGCCTTCGTAGAGGTCATACATGAAGGTCTGTCCATCTCGGTCCTGATGATGTCCATCATGTCCACCAGGAAGATCGCAATCAGGTACAGGACATCGATTTGCTCCGGATTCACCTCGCAACGGTGTTCCATCCAGAACATTCGGACCAACTGTCTTCAAGGCCTCATTAAGGTCTGTTGCCATAGAGCTCGGTTGTGATGGGCCAGGTCGATCAGATGGGTCCTCCAACTCCTCTTCAGCCTTTCGTTTCTCACCCTTCTCTTTTCTGACTCGCAGTCTCTTTGGAGTGCGCTGCGTCTCAGAAATCAACTCAAAGAAGGTCTCGCCAGTCCATCTGTCTTGCAAAGTCTTCTGCTGGTCCACAGTGTCTTCAATCGTCACCTCATCACCGCCAGCAATTGGTCGAATGATCGTCTTGCGATCTCCAGTGAGTTCCTCCAAATCCACAGGACATGACGTCGCTCTTGAAGGATTGAACAATGCAAGTCGTGGAAGTTCGTGGACTCGAACCAAGAATCGTTTACCATCCTTCTCACGCAATGCCCACGTGTCATTGCCAACGCGCTCAGGTCCAGGTTCTTGATGGATGGTAGCTGGTCCAAGATCATGAACTTGTTGTGCCTCACTGGGAACATCGCCAGCAACATCAAGGTAATATCGTCCTTGGAACGATCTCATAAGAGCTTCAAGCGTCACAGGTGCCCGATAGATGGTTGTGCCCTCCAAAGTCGCATCCAGTTGTTCGCGCTGAGAGACTGGGCGGATCTGGTTCAGCTTGGCCCTGATCAGTGTTGCTCCAGAAACAAGCCATGCCGTTGATCCCTCCATCAACACCAGTCTCAGAGGTCCAGACCAACCACCTTTGACCTTTCCAGGTCGCACCTTCTGCCGCCACACCATGACCAATTGACCAGGTTTGTAGGAGCTTGCCTTTCTGCCCACAGCGTTTGCCAGCTTGCTAAATCGGTCACCAGCTCGCTCTCTTTCAAAGGCAATCTTGGCTTTCTCTCGCTCCTTCACCAGATTGTCAAAGGCCTTCCGAGGCTCAATGCCCTTTAGCAGCAACTGATCGTCAAGAACTCCTCCGCCATGGCCAAAAGCCCATTGGTATGCACTGAAGCCACTAGGTCCGATATGACTGTTGTTGGCAGCCGCTGCCAACTGGAAGAGCTGTGCCACCTCTAAACGGTCTCCTTCACGTTGCAAGCGCTCCACCGTCTTCTTGAGGATGCCAATGGTGCTCTCCTCTGGACCCATGATCCAATGTGCTTCTGCCGGGGCCGTGGCCAGTCCAACACCAGACCTGTTCAGAAAGTTCATGAACTCAGAACTGGTGTAGTATCGAGCTGCGTCTGAAAGAATCCACTTCGGTTGAGGGTAGATCATCAACCATTTCGTCAGACTTTCAATGATGTTTTGACTCTTCGGCTCCCATGCGCCACTCTCGTAGCGAGCGAGATGATCCACCATCGTCAAGCCTGTCGCTCGGTCACGCCAGAGGATCATCTTGTGCTTGACACCATCCTTCTCCTCGTACTCAAAGACATCGGTGCCAATCTGCTCAAACGGATTCGGAGTCTCATTGGTCCCTGCAGGAGGTCGAGGTCGAGGCTTTGATGCTTCTTTGCACTCAGGACATTCAAGGTTAGCAGCAAGCTCAAGTGCCCAACCTGGTGACCCTCTAGCCTTCAACAGTTGAACCAGGTTTGACATCCCTGCATGTCCACTGGCACGATGAACTCGAAGCATCAGCTGTTTCACTGCCTCCAGACGTTTGCCCTTAGGAGCCTCTTCAGCATCAATTCGCTTCCGGCTCAAAGCGAGGATCTCGTGTTCTGGTAGGTGTTGAGGTTCATCCTCCACCAGTCCAGGAAGTTCAGATCGGCGAACATCATCAAGTAGCGCCGCCATCGTAGGTCCAGGACGTTGCCCTTCTGGTAGTCGATGAGGTAGTGACGCAGATGAGATCTGATCTCGATCATCCATCACTTGGAAGATATGCTTCTCAACGTCCTTCTCCAATGAGCTCGTCTGCTGCTGCCACGCATGCTTCATGCCCTTCAGAATCTCCTTGCACATCCGTGGGGGATAGTACGAAGATGCTTGTGCAGCCATACCTCGACATTCTGCATGTTCATGAGACCTGTCACATCTTTTGTTCAAGGTCAACCATAGCTCTCGGCTGGAAGTGAGAATCGTCCATGCCTTTCTCAAGGGAGTGCCCTGCCACTGTAGCCCGTATGCACAGCCGTCGATCCGGATCCAGTAAGGTCCTCGTCCATGACGTTTCAACATCTTCGTCAGTCGATCGATGGCTCGGGATCTCCAACCAGCAGCAGCAGTTGTTGGCCATTCCCATGCTACATCACCTCCAGAAGCCAGAACATGGTCTAGGGAAGCCGAGATCTCATCACATCGGCGTAGGTCATTTCCACGTCGCTTCAGGAACTTGTCCATCTCTTCCGGACTGCGTTCAGTCAAATTTTGCAGTGCGGAGAGGCGAGTGCATCGAAATGAAACCCAGGCCAGCCGTGGCTTCGCCATCTTGATGGCATCATCCAGCTTGCTCGTTCCCTTTCGGGCATCCAGGTCAAAGCCGCTGAGGTAGTTAATCCGCTGGCATTGGAAACCAGCTTCTTCGAAGGTCTTGGTCAGCAGGCTGTCCTTCGAGCAGGCGATCTCCATCAAGTCGATCTGAGGACTCGTCATGTTGACTAGCTCTCGCACTGGATCCATCACGGAAACAGTCATGGCTGCCGCTATGGCCAGCCGTTTGGCCAACGATGGCCGTACCTGCTTCTTGTGCACGTTGTTCACGGCCTCGAACTCCTCATTCAAGTAGGATGGAGCCGCTCCAGCCGCCACTGAACTTGTACAGGTGCACGTCAAGCAAGTAGCAGGGTTCGTAGTGCTGTCGTCATTCGTAGTGTCTGTTGCAGGAACAATCTCCTGTGCTTGTTGTGGGTTGCGTGTTGGGCTCATAGTTGATGTTGAAGTATTGGTGCCATCTGCAGCCTCCAGCCGCTGTCGGCACATTCCGACCTTCATCCTGGCTCGTAGTCCGCTCAGCGCATCCCAAAGATGGCTCATTCGGCTGCGGACTCCTTCTCCTTCTTGCCCTTCCGGGATTTGGTCACCGCGACCGTCTCCAGAACCGTCTCCACCTCCTCGATCGATGTCCCCGACTCGATGCTCACTGTCTCGATGTCCAGCGGCGTCAACGAAGATGCCGTTGCTGGTGTCGCTGTCGACGGGGAAGCCGTCATCTTGTCCACCTTCTTCTTGGGCTCGGTCTTGGAGGTCGGCTTGACCGGTGAGGTGCTCTTGGGCAGTGGTATCCCATAGCCCTTCTCGCTGGTCCTCGTTGTTCCGCAGGAAGTAGAGCTCATCAGAGCTTCGCCCAGCTTCTCGTCTGCCCTCACCTGAACCGTCGTCCTCCCATGACCGCCATTCTCCACCAGGCTGCGCCCCTTCAACTCCATGAGCTTGCCGTTGAAGATCTTCTCGTTCATCTCCTTGGCCTGGTAGATCTCCTGGAGTTCCACTTGGGCCATCTCCACCACTTCTGGCTGTGGTCCAATGACTCTTGTCTCGCCGGTACCACTGCCCTTCGTGATGTATCGAAGCCGCAAGCCGCACCTGCTGCATGCTTGCCAAATTGCCCATTTGTTGGAGCGGTCTCTGCCCGGCAGGTGAGTGCCCATGCATGGCCATCCGACATGGCGAGGATCTAGGTCGTGAACCGGTGGGCATGCCTTCATTCTCCGACTCTTCGGAAGGATGAGCCTGTGACTCACGAAGTCGTTGAGCCAGTGAGCTGAGGCGGTCACGAAGAGATGCTGTATCCGTTCTGGTAACCACCAAGATTGATGCCATACGATCAACAGGTACAGCTAGCTGACACTCATCATGCTCATGTACCTCGTGTCCACCTGATGCCTCAACTTCACTTCCATGACCACTGTCTGCAGGCTCATGCACATGTCCGCTGACTTCTAGACCATGCTCAAGTCCACTGTCTCCATGCTCATGTCCATGTCCACTGTCTCCATGTCCGTCACCATGAACTGCTGTCTCACGGTCTCTCTCTTCACGTTCAGGTGATCCCAAAATGATCTCATCCAATCTAGTTCCTTCAGACATGAGGGCAAATTCGGAAGCATGAGGAGGGACCATCATGATGTCATGGTCAACCACTGAAGGTGCTGCCACTTCTTCTGTTTCTCCGGCAAGCCGCGAGGATGAAAAAGGTCGTCCAGTCTCTTCCGGCATCGGTGCAACCTCAATCTCAACAGAAGGTGAACCAGGTGCCGAATTGGTCAAGTTGCTAGGTCCGGCCGCCATCAGAACTCGATCAACATGGTCTTCAGGCCTGATCGCACCAACAGCAGCATCTTCACGATGAGCATTCCACATGGAAGCCCTCAGCAGATCTCGTGCAGCCTCAAAGCCAGCCTCATTGCGAGACCGCTTTCGTCTCCGACCACCATGTCCATCATCATCATCTCCGTCATCTCCATCTTCATCTCCAGCATCCGGCTCATCATTGCCGGGAGGTCGTGGTCCGTTCAACTGGTTGTTGAGGCGCTGGATCAGGAATCGGAGAGGCGTCCGAGGCTCCAGCAAGTCCAGGATCAAGTGTCCTCCACCTCGGAAGGTCGTGAGGGTGTTTGCCCACCAATTGCTAGTGATCGGACTTCGATGGGCGAGGTATTCTCCATAGTAAGACACCATGGCCTTTCGAGATCGAAGGTCACGAGAACCAAGGAGCATCGGGGTCCTCTCAGCACCACCGTCCAGCAAGTAGAAGCTCACTCTGCCCAGGGAAGGTGTCGACAGATGGATCTTGGACACAGCTCTCTGGCATTCTCCATTGCCAAAGCGAAACCTTGGCCTGTCGTTCAACTCGATCTCATAGGGGATCCCGGCCGTGTGAATCAGCCGAGACATGCAGCGAATGCCAGCCACTGACTCCGTCGCGCCCGTGTCCACAATCGCCTTCGAGGTGGCCAGGTCATCCGATGACTCGTCCTCTGCAAGCGACAAGACATACACTTCAGGACACCACGTCTCGCCGTCATAGTCCACGAAATAGGCAGTGCCCTTCTTGCTCTTGCCTGACTTGCCTTTGCCCTTGCCAAAAGGTGATCCCCTCGAAGATGAAGGCGATGAAGTGGGAGAGCCCTTGCCCTTTCCCGAAGACCACCTGTCAGGGCACTTCTGGTAGCCGTGACCTGTCATGCCACAGATGAAGCATGGACCCATAGTGCCACCACCAGGACCCTTCCCTTTTCCGTTGGAGCCACCCTTCTTGCCTTTCGACGAGCGGCCCTTGCCCTTCATGCCCATAGGACTGTAGTAGCCCCTCGCAGCACGAACTTTGGCCACTGCTTGCTTGGCTTCCGCCAATGTTCGATTTGCCTCACCAGCCAACACGAAGGCCTCTTCCAGCCTTTTCTCATTCTCCTTCTCCTCAGCCGTCAACTCCACTCCTTCATCACCAGGATGGACTTGATCTCCACCAGCGAACTCATAGTCCTCGTCATAGTATTCCCACGTTGAGGCAGGCGACCAGTCATTCCAGTAGGCTTCTTCGTCCCACCAGTCTTCACCATCATCAGCCCATTGCTCATTGTCCCATTGGTCCCAACCGGCGTCATCGGCGTACCAAACAGTTCGTCGAGGATGACGTCCGCCAGCATCTTCAGGTCCGTCAGAACCATCAGCAAACAGGGATCTCAACGCTCTTCGAATGAGCTGGAAATGGGTGCTGTTCTTGGTCAAAGTCATGACATGCTGTCGCTCTGCCGCCGACAACTTTGCAGCCTTCAGCAATCTATATCCTCGAAGCTCATTCTCGAAGAATCCGGTGTTGTCCAAAGCCGTAGGCCTATCCTCCGGCCGGGTCACCGCAGGCGTCTCGTCCTCCTCGGGCACTCGGAAGGTGACATTGGGTGATCTCGAGGGCGAGGTCGGTGGATCATGTTCTTCAGCTCCGACAGCCATGGATCGAACCTCATGCTTCATCTTCTCAGCTCGTGCACGTTGCAATGCCTGTTGAAGTTCAACAAACAGTTCTTCTTCTCGGACTAAGAGCTGGGGTATGCTTTCAGCATGGGTCCTCCGAAGTCCAGACCATCTCTCGAGGCGGTTGAAGCTGTCAGGAACTGGAAGCTTCTGCAGCGGGCTTTCTCGAAGTACACCAAGAAGCTTGCTAAGGCCAGCCTCCGTCCCAAAGTCCTTGGGATCAAGGTGGCGAACCACGCTCTTGGCTGCTCCAGCCAATCGCTGCCAGATGCGGGGTGCCGCCAGCTTCCTCTCGTTGTCCTTGAGGGAGGCCTCGTACCAGCGGCATGAGGTCGCGAAGGCCTCAAAACCCGAAGGGTCTCCGTCCCATGATGGGACTTCCTCAGCAGGCATCCAAAGCACCAGGAACGCACACAGGAGCTCCGCCTACCATGCAAACCGCGTCCTCTAAAAGGACAAAAGCGAACCGTCAAGGTCCAAGGGCGTCCACGCGCCTCTTTTCCTAGGCTCCAGAGCTCGAGCCCCTCCACTGCGGAAAGGGGGTGGTCAACAAGAACCTCATGCTCACATCAAGGGTTAGCCCCTGACTAGGCAGGATGCTCCAGTGACTCCGCTCGTTCCACCGGCGCACCCCGCGGCCCAGCGCACCGTCACGTGGTGCCCGGGCGCCATCTGCGCCGTCACCAGCAGCGGCCCCGGCGCGCGCAGGCGGAAGGCCGCGACGGTGTCGAGGGGCGCCGGGAAGACCTGAAGGGAACGACCTAAGCACCGGACCAAGACCGACCCAGAGCACCCAGACCCCCGGAAAGAAACATCACACCCCTGCTGTCTTACACGGGGTTTGGGTCAAGAAGACACCAAGTTTGGGGTTCCAGGTTGGTAGAGGTATAACAGGTCTGTAACATGGTTTTTGGGGTTTTCACGGTGTCAAGGGTTTGGCTCGACCAATCACATGGGAATTCCATCATCCCTTTCTACAACACTCTTGTATGAGATAGATAAAAACACTATATAAAACAGGTGTCAACTTCTGAGTTAGGGGTTCCGAGAGGATTCAGCGGTTTTCGGGGGGATGCTGCCTGAAGAATCCATGGGTTTGACGAACGCCGGTAGAGACTAAGCTTCTACTCTTACTTTCCTATTCCGTGGTAGTGGCAGTGACTCGGAGTGCATCTGGGGGGGTCCGGTCTCAGGGGCAGGTCCATCTGGCACAGCTTTGTTCAAGCATCAAGCGCTTTTGACGGAGATATGGACAGTGAACTCAATGAGCAACCCTGAGCCTCTTAAGCACAAAGAAACGCACCTGTCGTCCGAGCTTTGTTGTCCGCGACTGTCGTCTAAAACGACGACACGTCCCCCCAGAAGAAGATCCATCGCGGCACACCTCCAAAACGCCACCGGCAGTGGATAAGAGCATCTCTGATGCAAAGGCCGCCCCTCCGACATTCTCCTGAGCTCAGGGAGTGTGAAGTTCATACCCCTTGCACAGCACTCAATCTCACCCGTCTCACCCGTCTCACCCGCACGTGCACTTTTTTGGCTGATGCATCCCAACACACCCCCCCAATTCACCAACCAAATATATAGCTCAAGATAGCTCAAGTAAAGTCATTCAAACACAGTCTCCAAAACTCCAGGCAAAGCCGCGTAAGAAACACGAGCTAGATCACGCCTGCCAGCTCCAAGGCACCAAGCCGGTCCCACCACAGCCCAAGACCATCCCGTTGCTGTAGAGGCGGCACTTGGGATCTGACCTTGCCGGTGCACACGCCGCGGCGGATCGAAAAGCCCGACCTCCGGTCGGCTTCTCTCAAATCACTGGCCGCTTCGAACGGCGGACAACGGCATCACGGCATCTGGCCAATTCAAAACGAAGCCCTGCAAAAGCCGCGCGGCGTATTGGTCAGATAGGACTCCCAAACCTGGCAGATCTGAGTGTAGGCGAAGTCATGCAATAGTCTTTTGTGTTTTTGTCATGCTTAACTAGTTTGGGCATGAGGAACCGTCCAGTTTGGGCATGAAATGCGTTGACAGTTGACACCGTTCTGGACGTCGCCGACCTCCAGCAACCCATCGAACCAGCCCACCCGCGCAGCCGCAGCAAAGGCATGGGGGAAGCTGTTGCCCTGCTTGCCCCCAGGCCATTGCTTAAAGAAGCGCACCTCGTGTGCGGCTGAGCACCATCTGGGGCAACAACATGCAACAACTGGAGTGGGGCAAAAGAGTGTGCAGCTTGTCATTCTGAAAGCTGCTTGAAGGGCAAGAAATGCTTTGACCTTCGAAGCCATGAAGACTCTTACCAAGGCACCAGCGACCGATGAACCAGCTCAATCTCCTCCTTGCGGCTGCGCCTGTATTGACGAAGCGGCCCTTCTCAGGTCACGAGAGCCCAGCCGGCCAGCATCACTTATGCCAAAAGGTGTTGAACAAAGTGATAATAAAATCCGTATGCCGTACACGTCTGATTTACATTGATTGAACAAAGTGTAACATGGGGTATGCTGTATACATCTGATTCACATTGATTCATGATCATCAAGAGTAGCTGAGTAGCTGAAGGAGGCACACCAGAAGCCAAGCTCCATCTTTGACATCCACCTGTGGACAGTGCCCAGCGGACCCCACCTGTGCACAGTGCCCAGGGGAAACGCTGCAAATAGCCCGCCCCAAGCAACGGAGCCACCTGGCAATGCTTCACCAACTGAGTCAACATAACTTCATATGTTCATCACATGTCATAATCATGTTCCCAACCCCCAAGAATCATAATTAGTTGCAGGTCTTCACGTTTTCACCACGCACACACAAGGCATAACCACTATCTAGTATCTACTATTGACTATTAACCACTTCAACTTCCTCCTTCCCTCACCCCCCCCCAACCGCCACGACCTGCATGGAGCCGCAGCTCGCGGCCGTGCGCCGATTCGCCGCCGTAGAAGTCGGCGACGACCTGGGCGCCATCGACCTCTTCGGTGGCGTAGGGCGCCACCCGGCGCGCCAGCTGCTGCAGAGCGCTCGCGCTCGCGGGGGCGCCCGCGTCGCCGTGGCGGGCTCGCTCCGGGTCCAGCAGCTCGGTCATCTGAGAGGAGCTCGGTGGGGAGGGGACTGGATGATTGTACAGCAGTACAGCATGTGGCAAGTTGAGATTCTCAAAGAATGAGGCAGAAGACATCCGGGAGCAAGTGGATGCATTTTGGGGCGCCAAAGAAAGGATTGTGTTGAGCTGGAGTGCTTGAGCTAAACTTCAGCTCCTGGGTGATTGTAAATAATATGTATATGAATATGTATATCTATATATATATATATTGAATCTACTCAGCTCAATCGATCCATGTCGTTGGCATAAATACTCCGCAATCCTATCTATATAATATATATATATATGTGTGTGTGTGTGCAAACATGTGCAAACCATTGCTCGTGCACAGGAAGAACCCGTTGGATTAGTAAATCACTGCATCCAGATCCACAAACACTTGAGATGTTTCGTGAACCTGGGTCATTGGCTTCCCGGCATGCGCAAAAACATTATCAGCGGTTCTGTATGGAAAAAAAGCTTGGCATGTGGTGATCAAACCATACCTGGAGCCATCCTGGCCGCTGGTCCAGTTCATGGGAAGGAAGGACTCTTTACAAACCTGCGAGCACAGCAGAAACCCCATAAGCGCTGCAGCAAAGGCCAGCCATTTTGCCCCAGCCACCGCATGTCGTCTCCAGCTAGCATTCAGCAGGGGCAAGGCAACTGCAGTTGCACAAAGAATCACTTTCACAGCCCCCTTCGACATCACTGTGCACTTCTTGGGTTGGGTCCTGCCATGTCATCCCCAAGGCCCAAATCCCAACCTCCTTCCGCTCTCAGACATCCTCACATCGTCTCCGTGCCATCGACATGTCTTCGCTTGGCGCTGGGCGCTTGGCCGTTGCACCTCGCGGGCGCCGCTCCCTCGGGCGCCGCTCCCTCGGGCGCCGCTCCCGGGCGGGCGCGCTCCACCATGGCGCTCAGGCGGCGGAGCTTCTTGCCCGCACGCGTGGCGTACCTCTCGAGTCGGTGGCGAGGCGGCCGCCAAGCAGCCATGGGCCGTGGCACTGATCGAGGCCAAATGCTTTCGATTTCGAGGTTTTTCTCTCTCCAGTGCGCACAGCTTGCGAGTTCAGCCGGAGGCAGAAGGGGAGCTTGTTTCTATGCTTCTAGTCTCTCTCTCTCTCTCTATATATATATATATAGCTTGGAGGAGTGAGTGGCTGTTGACTGACTCTTCTCACCAAACGCCCACGTCGTTGCAAGGGTGATGCGGTCTCACAGAGGCTGCACTACACTGCATGGACTGTGGGTAGATCAAGACTCCTTGCCTACGCTAGCCCTCCCTTCTCCATCCTCTCCAGGCAAAACCAAGCTAATCGCTAAATATGTGTATATATATACATATATATATTGTGTATGTATATATATATAACTTAAACATTCACCTTCGCGCACACAACAACTGGAACAACAACACCTTACCTCATGCCGCTGCCCCTCCGAACTCCCCCACTCACCTGTGGCCCTCGCCGAAAAGCAGCGTCAGCAGCCTCAACGCCTCCTCCTGGAGCGTCACTGCCCGTGCCAGCAGCCGCCGATTTGGGGCTGCAGCGGAGAGCCTGTTCTGGATGGCAACGTATAAAACGTCCTAGGGCCTTCTCAGGGTTTGTGAACATTGCATATATATATATATATATACATAAGTACATATGTCCATGCATACATGCATAGTCTACGAAGTCTAGCCGGCGGGTGTTGGGCTTTGAGCCACTCTGCACCCCCACAAAAGGACGACTTAGGTGCGGACCTTTGAAGTGGAGATGCAAAAGGCATCAGTGTCCATCAGCCTGTGAAACCCGCGCACCGATGAGCTTCCAGTCGACCAGTTCAGATTGTGTGTGATGGGCCACTATTGAAGTGGGCAAGACCTGCATTTTCAGAAGGGTCGCCCATTTGAGCCAAGTAGCTTTTTGACCAGCTTGCCCTTCTCCTGGCACCCCGAGGCATGTGCGTCTTCAGGCTTTACCAAAAATGTTGGACTAGAGAAATGTACCCTGCGTCCGTGCGGTTTTGCACGTCATCGATATGTCGTGCGCCGATCACATGTTTATCAACCACCATTACGGCAGAGGTTCCAACTACAACTCAACTGCCCGGACTCCTGTAAAACGACCCGCTTTTACCGTGGTCGGAAGCGACCCTCGCACGTCGGTCGTCGTTGGGCGAGTCCTGCGAAGTCGCTTTGTAGTGCCGAAGCAGCAAGCGACAGTACTTCTGCATGGTCCAGGCACGCGTCGCGTTCCTGGCGATCCCCGAACACTGCCCCCCCTGGCGCCCAAGACAGTCTTACATAGCATCCTACAACATCCTACAACCCTCCCCAACACTCACATTACATGACATCAACCCCTCTTCCCTTTGAAAGACTGCCTTAGATCCATGCAAAGCTGGTCATATCTGGCAGGCAGCCGTTGGCTCAGCCTAGCCCTAGCTCTCACTTGCATACGAGTCACGGCCAGGGGAACATTGCACTTTGGCAGCCTTGGAACATCACTGGTTCAAGACCACAAACGCAAAAGGTATCATGAGAGAGTTGTAGTTGAAGGACTTTAGCCTCAGGGTCGCTGTGAAGTGCCCAGGCCCCAAAGGCTCTCCCCACAAGACAGTTCAAGCGTTGACACACCCATCAGGGACAAAGGAACCTCATCGGGCTCTAGGCTCCATTTAGAACCAAGAAGGGTGTCCAAAACTAGACTGCCGTCCCCACATTGCAAGTGGGCCACCGGGCACAACCATAAGCATCGATCGACCCCCCCCCTTCCTTCCCAACAAGCCTATGGACCGATTCCTCCAGCCCAAGTGGCCCACACGGCTTTCCAGCACTTGCAGGGCTTCAGTGCTACTGCCATGCGCATCCAACCAGGGCACCAGTAAGGTCCAAAGGCGCTCACAAAGCCTCAGTCGCCCGTTCACCCCGCCCTGGCCGGGCCCGATCTCATGGAGTGCCGAGTGCCTGAGCTCGGCACCAATGCTGAGGCCCTAGGGCACCGCTCGCTCGGTCTCCCAGCATCTCCTGGAGCTGCCTGCACCCCCCGCGGGGCCGAGGCCAGCAGAAAGCAACATCCGGGGGGAAGTGGTGATACGCGAGAACAGTATCAACAGCCAGAACACGTCCGAAAGTGTGAAATTATATGGTTAGAGCAAAGACAGCTGTGATTCAGAGATCGATAGTGGATAGAAGCAAAAACATTGCGATGACTATGTAACATTATTTAACACGAGTCACGGGTGCCTCTGCTACACTGCTGACCTCCCAAACCAATCTGGGTGTGTCCGCACCAAGCAGTCGTACTAGCAGAGGTCACCTGTCCAGAGCCGCCTCACATCCTCCTCCGAGAGTTGCATGAAGCTATCCTGGCTGCCACCAAGCAGCGTTTGAGTTGGACCATGTTGGCCGAGACATGTCTTGAACTCTTCAAACTTGAGCTCTGTTCTTGCCCCTCGACATTGAAACGCAGGGTACCGTGGACACATAATATACGGCACAGGTAATTCAAAAGCGAAATCCACTGTTCCATGGTGGGAGAGCACTTGAGCGGTTGGCACTCGGCAAAAGCATCGCTTCTGTCGAACACGGATCCACCTCATCGAGGTGTTGGATGCGCACGCGCATCTGCTTCTCCGTCTCCTGATTTGAAGCTTCTGTGTCTCTTCTAATGGGGGGATCTTTGAATGAGCGGTTTCTCTTCCGGACCCTTGAAATAGGAGTGCCTTGCAAATGGTCCCCCAAGCATGGTAAAGTGGCCTACGCTTTTCCACCCAGAAAGCCCAACGCAGCACAGAAGAAAGCCCCCGTCCAGCAAGCCAGAGGCATAGTCTCCACACAGCTTTCCACAGAGGCGGCAAGAGAGCTGTGAGAGCTCCTGGCACCAAGGAACGTGGGTATTTGGACTCTAATTTTCCGAACACCTAACCAATGGATCTTTGTGCTTTGTTTCACTTTGCTTCTTATCACGGCCTGTCTTGGGCTGACCCTCCCCATGAATTCGCCTTTCGCTCATCTTCAATGGGTCTTCCCAACCCCTCCACCTGGATCTGTTGGAAGGCAACCCAAGGCCACCCGCATCGAAGAGAAAGAAAAAATATATCCTGTGCTGCCACCAGGCATGGTGGAGGATAGATTCCACAGGCACCACCTGGGTAGATCGGGGGGGACACTCGTCAGTGCTCGTCACGCCCGTCACAGTCGGGTCGTCCCGGTCCCTTCCACCCCCCGTAGAGGTCTACTCGGGTTTCGGCACAAAAAAGGAGATCATGTGGGGGAAAGGACGGGAAGAGGTGTCGAACAAGGGGAGAGAATGCTTTCACAGCCGACTGAGTGGGGCGAGGGCAATCGAACTCGCAGCGCGAGAAACGGACCTGGGACTCTGAGAAAAAAGGATGCGCCCCAGGTCCGGAGCTCGAACGAAGATTTCAGGGAATGTGACCAAAAGAAGTCATGCGCATGCTTTTCCTTTTTCTCTTTCAAAAGAAAACTGCGTGACAAAAAAGGGAATGTGGACCTAGAAGTCCGGAGCTCTAAAAGCACGCACCGTTGGAGACTTGGAGAGTACCCACCCCTGTTCAGCCACAAGTGTCTGGTCCTCTCTCTAACCAAAACGACCCCAAAATCGATCAAAGAGAGAATCACTGTATTGGAAGCCGTGTGCAAGACCTTAAAAAAACCTAACAAATGTGTATGTTGTTTCACTGATCTTTTAGAAAATGTGCTGGAAGCCCGTGTCTATCTATCTATTTGGCTCCTTTTCGGCAAGTTCATATTTTTCGGCTGCAAGGCTCAGCCAAGCGGCAGTAGGGGCAGCGAAAGCCACGGCTGGAGTCCATAGTTCCATCTGGGCCTACGGGTCACGAGGGAAAGTGGTGGAATGGTTTCAATCAAAGAGAAGCTGAGCTGTCATCTCACTAGTGACTAGTGCTGATTGCAAGTTTGCCTAGGCTTGGCACCTACAGAATCTACAGGTCTTTCACCTACAGGTTCTTTCACCAACAGGGTCTTTCCAAGTCTTGTGAGATCCAGCGAGGGCACATTGTATATATTTTGCGGCCGCAATATGCATCTATAATATATATATATATATATATGTGTGTGTGTGTGCTATACATACACAGTATATCAGTGTACTTGCACCTCGGATTCCAACCGCCAAGCACTTAATGGTGATTTCTGAGCAACCATTCTTTGACATAAGAATTTAAGCCCATTCAAAAAAGAAACACTGTATATATATATATTTATATAGAGAGAGAGAGAGAATATATATATATAACAGTCGTAGGCTTGGGTCTATCTATCTACCTACCTGCCTAGCATGAATCTACATGGCAAACTAGGGTGAGCTGTATACAGAAATGAGATGAAATGAGGGACTGGGACGTGGATCAAGCCTGACTTGATTCGTCGGTGGATGGGTAAGTGGGTGCATTACCACGCCCACAGGTGTCACGCGCAGCGCTTGCCACCGAGTGGTGCAGCGGGCGCCCCCACCCTCACAGCGTTCGCAGGTGCAAAGGAAAAGCTTGGTCTTCTTCAGGGCCCTCTTTCGCTGAAGGGCACAATCCATCAGCATTTCCTGCACCGATCGGAGAACTCAGCGTCTAGACTGGATCGACATCTCCATCAACCTCTGGGGCAAGGGCCACATCATTTCGCAGCAATTCATCCCGCTGTGATCTCGCAATCTGAAACACCTATATATATATATATCTATATAGTCTCCAAAAATTCGACCTGCCTCTGACAGGTATGAGATGCAAATCTCATCGCCCTCCTCAATGTCCAAGCGCGCACGCACCACCTGCAAAGAATTGTCAACATGCTGCAGCCAAAGCGTATTCCACCCCATGCCCCCTCAATATTCCTGAATGCTTAGCAGCCCCAAATACCAAAGCGCAGCTCCCAAGCCGAAGCTCTTTGGTGCCAGGAGACTTGGGGCTACTGGGGTAATGACATCACTCAGCCCAGCGACATGTACGGCATCCGGGCCCTCATGCCAAATCGCATTGGGCTTGCACGAGTGCGACCTGATAGGCGTTTCTGTTCAGGTGAAATGGGCAAACGACGCGGTTTCTCGTGTCTAAGATGTTCACTGCCAATCATCTGGCCACTTCGTTTAAGATTATAGCAGCATAGACCCCAAACAGGTTAGTTGGCAAGACTTGTTGCTTGGGGGGAAAGATCTTTGGAAGTCTTTGGCCCAATCTCGCCACAACATGGCTTTGCAGGCACCCATCTGGTTTTTGCATACAAACATGTGGGCCTGGGGTCAACCTCTTTGACTTCTGGCTCTCTGTGCCCAGCAACATGAAGGAAGAGACAAAGTATGCAGAGTAGCCCTCGGGCTCGTCCGAATGCTCCTCAGCGCAAGAACTGCTTTAACAAAAGCACGATGACAGGCCTTGGGCCTTGCTTCACCTCTCGGTGAGTAGCTTCATCAACAACAGACCTCGGCCTGGGACAGACTTTACTCCGGAGGCTGTGCCCTAAGCAGGAGCAGGCTGTCTTGGCTTGGCCCAAACGCCCCGCCCCAAAATAGGACGTGGCCCAGACGAAGACCGCCCCCCCTCCCTGCAGCCGCAGCTTCAAAGCAATTCAGGATCCAGCACCTCGAGAGATGGTCAGGTGGGATGAAAAGAGGAGTCAGGACCTCAGAATCAGTGCCTTGGTTGGTCAAGATGCCTGGAGGACTGGCATCTGTGTCTTGGAAAAGTTCTCCTTTTTTGTGCTGGGATGTCCACCCCCTGATTCTATGGTCAAAGCACGCCAAAGCCACTGGGTGAAGATCGGGTCCCAGGCTTTAAGCCCGTCCAAGGGCCTTGACTGAGATCAAGAATGACAAACTCACCCAGTTGGTTGGAAGCGAGCCCAAGGAGAGTTGTAGGCGAAATTTTCAGTTCGTCGGTCAGGGTGGAAAGCAGCCCGGCATTGGGATATGTTGGACCACATCCAAGGACACCTTCATCTTTAAGTCTGTCAAAAGCCCTTTGGATCCCTTTGGCCTCTGCGGGCGATGTTCTTCAATATGCCTTCCACAATTCTCCCGTCTACCCCTCTTTTCGCCAGACCGACCCTAAATTACCAGCCTGGCCTCAACAGCTCCTCGACTTTCAGCGCGTTGGGCAAATGCAGTTCCTCAGCCAGCGCCAGCACTGGAGCACCTTGAGGCGTAAATCATGGCAGGAGGTGGCCCCTGATGAAATCCAATCCTGCACCACCTCAGCCTGAGAAGTGCCAATCTACAAATTATATCAAATTATTCCGTTGTTATTGATCGGTGGGACGCGAGCTGGCAAGGAGGTTGAGTTCTCTCAGCGACAATAACCCATTGGGCCGACCTTATCTAGCCATCTAGCATGATCCATGAATAGCGTCAACAAAGCCGATATGTAACTCTGATTTTTGGTGACCCACGCGGGAAGAAGGTGACAGAACCTGAAGGAAAGGTGTCCCGTTGGTCAGTGCCTTCTGCAAGTCCACTGCAGCTTCGGGACTGGCTTCAGTGATCGGCTCGTGGTACAAGCATAGTAAGCGCCGCTGCTGCTCAGGACTGCACGGGAACGGTTCGTGGATGGGCATGACTGTGAGTGTTCTGGTGAGGTTGCCCCCGCAAGAATGCCTGGCAGCCAAATAAGGAGACCATCTCACCAAGGGTCGGTTTTGGGGGGGAGCGTACTGCTTGCAGTGGTGCTGTGAACCAAGGTGTCCTCCAGGTGTCTCCCGTGGCCTCGGCCTCCTCCGTGTCCGTGCGACGGACGGTCCGCGGCTGGCGCCTGACAGGCTGCAAAGCGGTCGTCTGTGGTAGCTCCTCAGAGGTCAAAGAGCACAAGGCTGCCCAGTACCAAAGGGGCTGATAGGCCCGGTCCTGGCAGCCCGGATCTGGTCGTGTTGGAACTGTTTCAACAAGCGCAAGGAGTCGGACTCCCCAACAGCCCCTTGACCCATCTTTGGCCCTGGCACATTGATCTCATGTGCCCACCCACTCACCATTCCTCCCCCCAAAACCCCCCAAAAAAAGGTCCTGGAAAGCCTCGCAAACCCTCTGCACCACCAAGAAGGCCTCGTTGCTCTTCTCCGCCTCCACGATGTGCAAGGGTGGCTCCTGCCACCCGCGCGAACCGCACTTGGCACCCATGGACTCCGCTCCTCGTCTCGTCTGTCCCGGAGCCTCCAAAACCCGGGGCGCCTGGAAGATGAGGTCGCCCTGCTTGAAGGAACAACAGGATCGAAGGATGCGGCCCTTACCTGGGACGACTGAAATGCCATGGCCAAGTCCGGGTCAGGAGGCGTTTCATGGTGTGGTTTCCACCACCGGTGACGGTGCAACGCCATGTCTGAGTCTGAGTCTGATGCAGTGAAAAACGCCGTAGATTTGTGAAGCTGGGATTCGTCAATTTGTCACATGCAGTAGGCATGTGCCTGAAAATTGGTTTGAAGAAATCACTTCAGTAAAGCCTCCCTGTACCACAGACCCAAACCCTTACTCTGATCCAAGCAACTGGAAGAGAGCTCACCTCAGTTGGGCGTGCGAGAGGCAGGCGGCCTGTATAGCCCTGGAGTTTTGAGCTGCTTCAGCACACTCAGGATTGTCCTTCTTTCACGGGCATCTGGGGCCCTACTTAAAAGTAGGCTAAGCCAAGCCTACCTGGCTCATCCTGGCTCATCCTGGCTCTGTCTCCCTATATATGTTCTTCCGCCCCGTTACGCTCGGGTCAGTGGTAAAGGGTCAAGCATATTGGCTTGAAAGCTCCATGATTCCTTCTGACGCATCCAACTCAGTCCAAGCGGCAGGTGACTTTGCCTGCGAAGAGCTCGGTGCAGCATGTGTTGATGTAGTCAACGGACCAGTCTTCCATTCCATGCGGCAACCAGATCAGCGTTCCATGAGTCCGAAATCATCCAATTCGAGAATCCGTCGATGGATGGGATGGCGTGCAAATGGGTGGCGTGCAAATGTCTAAACTTGAGGAACCTATGAGCCCTCGAGTTGTCTTTGCTATGTAGGTGTGGGTCTGATGAACCTCTTGTTTGGCTCAAGGCTTTGACAGCAAAGCATCACACCTGCAGCCTTCCACACCCACACAGCCAAAACAGAGGCCAACAGCGAGTCACAGTCCGGTGAAGCTTCGTGAGGAATTGAAACCCTGCCAGTCCCATCTCCATTAGACATGGCAGGTGCGCAACACAACATCCTATGACAAATCCAGAACATCCAAACTCCGCGTCCTCTTGCCATTCGTTTCCACGAACCCCGGGGGATGCCACCCGCGCGTCCCCGAACTCGGGCCTCCGCCAGAGTCTGAAAGAAGCCCGGCAGCAAAGACAGCACCACCGTCGGATCCGGCTGGACATCGCCGTCCGGCAGGCAGATCTCCTGCGGGAGATCTGGGCTGAGCTGTAAGGAGAAACCTGAGATATGACTGTTTCAGCCAACAGGCTTCCGGACAGGGTCCTCCGAATTCCTCAAAGCTGGATGGGCCAGGGAATGTAGGTAGGAGGAAACTCTTGGAACGAACTGCCAGCTCATTGCGTTTCACACGGCCCATCCTCGGCACAATCCTCAGCATCATGCAAGTAAGCATCTTCGCCAGCCACAAGGTTGCACTCCTCAGAGCCAAACCGCTGGCAGTAGGGCAGAGTGAAGCTGGATATCATAGCTCCCAAACAGTCCCAATATATATATATATATAGACCTAAATCGTCCAGTTGGGGTACATTATCTTCCTATCCAGTCCTGCCCCTTATACCTCGGAGGATGTATCACAAGTGCCAACAAACCTGCCCCACATCCTGCGACCCAAACCTGCCAGCAAGCCGCCCAGAAGCGTGCCACCCCGTTGAGGAAGGGCAGGGCCCTCTCTGCAAACGCCAGACTTCCAGTGTATCGCCAGTACCTTGTTTTCAAGCATTTGGAAACGGCAGAAACTTGTAGAAACACCAGAAGCGCCTGAAGCAGAATTGAAATACCCCGCCCTCTGGTTCCTGGAGGCCGGGGGGGCTGCCACCAGCATTTCACTCCAAACAACTTGAACAACCTGAAGATCAGCTGGACTGAACATAGTACACATAAAATGGTGTGTGTGTGTGTGTGTCTGTCTGTCTGTCTGTCTGTGTGTCTGTGCTCAAGATGCACATCACGCACCAATCTGTCTGTCAAGGTGCAAAATGAAGGGCACTGCCGCAAACAAACCTCGGGGACACTGGGCACACAACTGTCACGTTCAAGAGTAGGTTCATTATCCGATATTCACGAACTGGAGCGGAACTTTGACGTCACTTCACTTCACCAAGTCCATTCCCCCGTTGCGGAAGCCAACACTCTCCATCCACCAGTCAGTACAAACTCAACTACTTTAGAACAGGTCGCTCAAGCCCAACGCAGCTTTTTCTACGACTGCAAGGTATGAAATGCCAAATCAACCAGTCAGTTGAGAACTCTGCCATTGACATGGTCACGTCCACCTCTCCACCCCTCAGTCCCAGGTCGCCACACCCATCTGCTTCTGCCCCAGGTCGCCACGGCCAACGCCTGGCACCTGCACGCCCTCCGGCAGCAGATGCGCCTGGTGGAGACAGAGAAAGAAGATGCACCAAGAAGGTGAAGAGAAGCTTGATCTGAGCTTCGGGGCCAAAACCGGATAGAAAATCCCTTATGACTTCTGTACTGGTTGGTTGCAAAATCCCCACTTCACAATCCATAGCCGGGGGTGCCAGTGAGAGTGCGAGTGACAGAAAGTGAGTATGATCGCAGCTCATCTGGACTTTGAAGCAGGACCTCTTGTGGGATCTCCTGTGATCTTCCCACCCCGTGCAACAGAAGGCACCGGGAAGGCCAGCGAGTCAGGGCAATTGGGATAAAGCTCCGCAGCCATGCGACGAGCCGCCTGGTCAAAACCGGCCATTCATTCCACACTCACAAAAGTAGCAACCACAAGACATCACACGTTCATTCTTGGCACAGCCATGTGGTATCATGTGTTTGGCACAGCCATGCAGCCACGTGGTCAAGCCAGTAGCCTACATCCGATCTCTCAAGCGAAAGTTCACCGTTCTTGTCTGAACCGCTGGGGCAAGCGACGGGAATGAAGTCCAGGATGGCTTGAAAGTATGGTTCAAAGGCCTCCGGTCGAGACTGGCCATTTGATCACTGGATCCAACTTTCATCCAAAAAAGAACTGGACAGCATCACAGAGAAAATAACGGAAGACATATATATACGGTCATGGAATCTGCCACACAAATCTCAACCCTCTCGCTTTCACATGCCTGACTTTGTTGAGTTTCTTCATCACGCTTCGCCTCCAGGTGGTTTGCAGCACCCGCATTGTAGTACACAGCCTCTGGTGCGTTCAGTTTCATGCCCTACTCGCATGCTTGGCGCTGGCATCATTTTTGCAAGCGAAACAGCGAAGAACGATCACAAAGCCAATACCCCCTTGACAAGAAGCTAACTTATATATATATATAGGATGGCTTTTGCAGGTACGGCCCCGGGGAATGTCATTCTCCGCGGGTCTTTTCTCTCCAAATACCCCACCTCTGCGTTGTAGTTGAGGGTAATGTCGCCCGACCAGACCACCTCATCATCCACCACAAAGGGTCCAAAGAGGCCCGGCGCAGGGCCATGCCACGAAGAGATGCGTAACAAATATTGGCTCATGTACCAGTGAAACCTCAGCCGTCCAATGACATGACCAATTGGCTCCGCTTTCTCCTCAACCGCGATGGGAATGGCTCTAGAACTTTGAAGTTCGAGGGTCCGGAGAAGCTCGAGGAAAGAATGCGACTTTGAAACGCTGGACTTTGGGACTCTGGCGCTTCCAACATCTACACTGTCATCTGACCTTTTCCATCAAGGGAAGGTGCCTTTTCCTTCAGACCAGCGACATGGTCACGGCTGAGTCGTGGATGCAGATGAAGGACCTCATCATTCATGGCTCCCAACTGCACTTTCTCACCATGGCTCCCACTGGCTGAAAAGCATTGGACGGAGCACACCAGTCAGACGAGGTGCCGTTCCCAGAAGTTGGTCCAGGATGCCCAGTGTGTGGCCTTGGTCAGAACCCAGATCAGCGAACGAGGTGTCCTCTGCTGATCAACACCTGGCGTGGCCTTTCATGTTGAACTTCCTTAGAAAGCGATCTTTGACTCCTTTGGACCCTCTTTTCCAACCAACACCTCCCACTTCATCTGCCCCAAGCCAAAAGAACTGCCAAGCCAAGCTTCCCGAAGCTCTGCAAGAGGCATCCTGGGCACCACAAGTCTGCGCAAATTAGGTTTGAGGATGATTCAAGCAAGCAAAAAGAAGCAAGCACGGAAACTTCTATGCTACATGCAACAAAGACCTGTTCTCGCATCTGGTTGCCAATTGATGGGCCAATGCATAGTTTCAAGAACAACTCACACTCACAACATCTCACAACCAAACTACTGGACGCTGCCATCTCTTGGCACATCGACCAGGACGATCCGTCTTGTACAGGCAGCTGAGGCACAAGGATGAGAACCTCAGCGAAGAGCTGTCGTCCACTGTGTTTTGCACGTGCGTTTCATGTCAGGAGCTGGGATGTTGTCATGAAAAGGCCACCCTACCAGTGCATTTTGCACAGTCAGCCGACAACATGCATAGTCTCGCATGTAGAAAGATGCAGCTCCCCAATGAACTCCCACATGGACCTGAAGTCAACCAGTCCCATCCCAACACTTCCGCGTACTTTGCACAAGGTGCCCAAGCCACTAGAATCTAGAAGCACAGTTGTCAGCTCAAGTTGTAAGAAGGGTGTTGAAGTTGTATATTTGCTGCATAGGAAGCTCCGTGACCCCTACACCAAGTACTGTATCAGGACAGCCGGCCAGGCCACTCGTAGACCTCGGCTCGGAGTTTTCCAACCCGCACGTGTCCCGATAGACTCGCTGAGCTGCTGGGGCTTCTCCATCAGCGGCCATCGTCCCAGTCGCACCGCCAGCCACCCATCGCCCCTGAGTGAAGACTGGGCCGCAAAGCGAAGACTGGGCCGGAAAGGGCGGCATCTGCACCCCCGACCGACGGAGGAGGTGTTCCACCAAAATGACCGCCAGGCAACCCGGACTGGGAAGCTTCAGCAAGCTAGGAGCAGCTAGGACTTCGTCTTACCAGCTACACTGCTTGGCCCTGCCACTCCGGTCGAGCCACTCCTTTGGCCGCCAGGTGCCCTTGGCACAGGGGCCTCGTAGGAAGAGTTCAGGGCCGCAGCGGCCCATGGCCTCCGGATACATCGACGGATGGAGGCCCTGGAGGAAAAATACCATGCCATGCCCTCCGGGGGTCCTTCTCGATACTGGCAGGAGGTACGGTTTCACTGTGTTCTCGCTCTCGCTCTCTCGCTCGCTCTCTGGCTTGCTGGCTTGCTGCATCGTGCGAGGTCATCTGAAGTCTCTGGGTGTTTCTTGGTGGGATGGACTGCTGTAGATTGGACTGAGGTCTCAAGAAAGGAAGGCCTGGAAGATGAGGAGTTCACCCACAAACACAGCCAGTTGATTGCACAAAGGCAAACCTCGCGAAACGACCTTCCAGCCCAGCCAGCAGGCCTCCACATCGGTGAAGCTGGATGATCCAGGGTCGCCACCCAGGGTCGCCGAAAGACCAAACCTCGTTCGGGCCGTGGTCCGGCGTGGTTGAAGAGCGCTAATGGCATGGTGCAAAGACTCATGGATCGGTTTGCTGTTGAATATTGATGTCCATCTCAGCCAACAGCCCTCTTTCTTTCATGGGAATCTTGAGGCCAAGCCAATGAAAAGAGGCCTCGTCAGCAAAATTCTGGGTTGCGTGTGATGTAGAAGTGTGGGAGCTATGCACGACATGCCAAAGCTCGCGCCGGGGTTTGAATGCATCTTTGCTCTGATGCTGTGGCCTCCACCAACTCGTCCCATCTTGGAACTGTTGGGGCGCTGCAGGGCTATTATGAGGCCTTAAAAACCTGCACGCAGGCACGCGCTTCAAATGACTATGGTGATTGATCTGCCAACAACCTAGCGATGGGAGGAATCCTCTGTTTAGCTAAAACCTACTGTGACTGTTACTTGCACTATTGAAACAACCAACCAGCAAAGCTCACAAGAGCGTATAACCTACCAGCATATAAGCCCCGCATTTTCTGGATAACGCCCTTCTGTTGGACTGCTTCAGGATCATGCCCCAATCCCTGTTGGCGCGCGCGTCTGTCTTGGCAAGGAACCATCGCACGGGAAAGTAAGTGGCCTGCAGCCAAAGGCCCCCTCTCAGAGTGGACACTCAAACTCTCAGCGTCTCTGCTGTTCGAGCAGTTCAGCTCAACTCCTTACATGTCCAAGCACCAACCACTTCCTTTCTCCTCTCCCCCTCCTCTACTCACTCTCTCTCTCTCTCTCTGTCTGCTAGGCTCTCCAGGCTCCCTCGCCTGGAAAGGCCATCCATTTCCGCGAGCGACGCGCAGCTCCTTCTCCCCGGCCAGCACTTGCGAGGGCAGCCGGTCGCTCGTGGCACCGGTCGTCTTCGACACCGGCGCGCCGCCCTGGACGGATCGAGGGGAAGCGGTGGTATCTCTTGCAATCTCACTTCTCCATCTATTCTGTTCGGGCACTCCCCAAAAATGTTGCACCCACCCCAACACCTGGGACTGAAGTCGTTCATCGACCCACCTGGGCGACCCTGGTGCTGGGCGAGACGGGCGGCCGCGGCGGGCCGTGACACCCGGAGAAGGTCCAAAGCGTCACCAGCACCTGCGAAGCCGCCCAGGCCCCGGGGCAAAGGGAATGAGTATGGGGTATGCTTCGGAGGTATGCTTGGCGCAGTGTGAAGACTAGAGTAGTAGCATGTTCAGAGGGTATGCCCCGGCGTATGTTTCGCCTAATTGAACATCCCAACCCTACATAAACCGGAGACGTTTAAATACGGACACGTTAAAAAGGTACAAACCCAGATCCCTCCGGCCAGCGCCCCTCTCCCCCTCCCACGGCTACAACCTCTGGCCTCAGTGCTAAGACCTCCATGCAGTTCCACCATCAAAACATCCTCTGTGGCGTGGATGAAGGCGCCTCGAGATCCCCAAAGAAGGAGCAAGGGCCTTACTAGTAGTAACAAGAAGCTACTAGGAACAAGTGCATCGCTACTAGTAACAAGTGCCTTACTACTAGTAACAAGAAGCTATTAGAAACAAGAAGGGTGTGCTTTGCTTCAGCGCACAGAGGAACACAGTCCATCCTCCGGGCCGCTTGGGCATGTCTTGGCCGCTTGGGCGTCAGGGGTGCCACATCCGGCTACTGCGCGTCCCGGCGGCCACTCGGTCGTCCGTTGGCGGCTCTGCTGAGGCTCGGGCTCAAAGTGAGCGCTCGGGCTGACCTCGAAATTGAATGCGGGCTCACACTTTGGCAAGGATAGAATCACGTGGAATCATATGAACTAGAATATTAAATTATATATATATATACAACTCGAATTGCCTGGCCTCTACTCTACTTCTCAGGGGCTTGGAGAAACATTCAGGTTATGATCCTTTGCTCGTTCTTTTCACAAGGGCGTGCGTGTGGATGTGGCATGGCTTCTTGCCCGGCACAGCTGTTGAAAAAGGAACAAACTAAACCAAACACCAAAAGCATTCCCAACTTCACGAAAAGTCTGACACTACCACTAAAGCTGGGAACGGCCATGAACGGCCATACAAATGCATCCACCAAAATCAAACGCAAAGCCAATGAGGCCAAGCATCCCCACTTTCAACATAATCAAAGCTGTTCCGTTAGCTGCCAGCTGTTGAGCCATCATTTGAGCCCCGGCAAGGCCAGGAAACCTAAGTGCCGTCCAAACAAAAAGCACATCCAGTGAGGAGAGTCCAAGCATGCACAGGAACTGATGTCTGCTTCAGATGCTGTGGTCGCTCAAAATCCACCTCATCTGCTGAGGCGCTCCAAAGTCAAGCCGGCTAGCGCCTGGCCATCAAACCCGGACATCGGGGTGAACCTGTGACTCCTCCCAACAACCTTTCCGTCCTCAATGCAGCATCAAGATTGTCTGGAGGCTCCCATGTTCGTCGGCTCACTTTCGGCTCTCCCCAACTCGGGCGCCTTCCGCCCGCCGGCCGAATACCCGCAGCTGCTGGCGCCACCGCTGGGCGCCGCAAAGAAACCATTGTGGCCCAGGTGGAGGTCGACGCTCGGGTGCCTTGGTCGGGCATCACGCTCGGACGGGCGGCCTCTTCAGGCTGGTCCCGGACGTCCTGAAGGTTCGACCTGTGGAGGAGCGTCGTTTGGGCCCAGTGCCACACCACAGCCATCTGCCCCCACGAAACGGAGGACCATGGAGGACCCCCACTGCCCACCGAGAGGCTCAGACTCCGAGTGCCAACCTAGGACGCCGCCCAGGCGGCCGTTGCCGATGAGCGGTCCGTCAGGAACACCTGCAGGGACCCGAGGACAGGGCTGAGACCCGAGGTGCAAGAAGAATGGGGGGGCGTCTCGAAATGACCAGCCACACAAGGTAGAGGAACATCACCGAACTTCTCATGACACCGGTAAAAGAGGGTCGAAGGGGTGGGGGGCCTTGGTGACGTTCCGTGCTGTTGAAACTGCAGGGCCCCCACTGGCCTTTGCTGGGCACATTGTGAGGAGGTGAGCTCCAAGTGCCAATGATCTCCTCCACTGGGTGGGAGGAGCTGCTTGCAAGACCTTGTTGAGGCGGCAAGCAATCCACGGTGCAGGTGGGGAAGGAATGAAAGAATGCATTCTTCTGTGTGAACTCTGGGTGCTTGCTAGCCCAAGCCATTCTATAACCCAAATCTAGCATCACATCACCGAACAATGTCTGAGCCCTGGGAGCGAGAAGAGGGCTGCTACATACATCAACATAGTTGGCAAAACACCGAAGTCCCGACAAAACCCCTTGCTGCAAAGTTGGGAGCAAAAACAAACAAGCTGCTGATAGATTTTGACCAGGCTACACCACAGCAGGACCAACTTGCGCATGTGCCCTGCAAGCCTGTGACGGCCATTCGCCCTCTAGGACAGTGTCAGGGCAGGTTGATGCCTTGGGCCTGACAATCCTTGACATCAAAATGGAGAAACCCAGGAGAACTTCAAGCACACAACCGAACAACAACACCCTGTAAAGAACCCAAAATTAACCATTCACACCCTGAAAGACTTGAACGCAGAAACCCTCCCGACAATCTACACAAGGGTACAAATGTGCAAATGCCTAGATGGGGCTAAGTGTCTCCCAGACATCCATCCATGTCCAACTTGCTCGGCAGGCGCCCCGGGTCAGAACCTCCCACCCCTGCCTGGCACAGTCTGATTGGTGCCCAATGGCAGATCCATGGAGAGTGGGACGCGGCTTTACCAGCAGTACGTCAAAAAGATGTTTGCTGCTGCGGCCCATGGTCCATGGAGTCCATGATGTCAAATGTCAAGGTCGGCTTTTTGGAAGGGTGGGCTCAACTAGGTGGGTGCATGACTGACGGTGGCTCCAGTATTCAGCTCTTATGAGGCAACTCGCAACTCCGCAGCACGGAGGAGGGGAGTACTTCAGCTTTCCATATGTGTATGCTGCATCGGCGCTTATGAGCACTGGACGAGTTGACTTCTACCCAGGTCTGTGCCATGCGTTCTCAATTGGACAACTTGCTGAAATTTATGCCATGGCTCTAAGCCGGAGTGGCTGGCAAACCCGAAAAACTCGAGCATCTGAGAAACTGGAATCGCCATCACAACAGGTCCTTCGTCCTTCCCTTCCGAGTCCGGTTTGACAGGTGAGGACCTGAGCATCGAGTCCCATGCTGTCAGTCTCTTTGGGACGCCCCACCCCCTGCAGGATTGTTTTCCTCTACAAACCAGTCGGTTTTCAGGGTCCATGTTACTCTTCCAGGCTGTAAAATGATGCCACATTCTGCGACAGGTACGCTACCACCTGACGCCAGGGCAGAAGCTCAACTATCCCAATGAAAAAGCTACTCTTGAAGACTCCAGAACTGCCTTCTGCGTCAACATGGGACACCTCTCGATATGCTTTCCAACCACTTGGTCTCTACCACTTGGGATTGGCAGGTCGAACATGGTCTATATAACCAACCCTTGCAAGTCAGTGAAGGGGGAAGAAAGGAAAACGTGGACACTTTATCCCTCGCACTGCCTTCCAGGTCAGACACCGCCTAGCTGCGAAACTGCGGCCACTACGTGCAAGGCTTCCTACTACGCCCCATCCAGCGTAGCCTGACGTCAGCTACCACCACCAAGCGGTGCCTTCACTCGCTGTGCGCTTGTGGGGCAGCCAAGCGAATTAGGTCCTAGGTGAGCAAGTGTTGGTGGCGGTTCTTGTGTGTTGCTTTTCTCTCTCAGACTGGTTGTCAATGATCCAAGTGACGAGAAACGCCTTCCGAGCAATCACTTGGCTCTCTTGTCGGCACTTCTTGGTCTTCTTGGAGGATGTCGTTGGCGATCGCTAGCACCTGGCGACCCCACTGCCTCGTTGATTGGGCCTGCACATGAAGCATCATACACCCATGGCCCTCACAAGCAGCGTAAAATTCACGTCCAGCAGCCTCATTGCTCGATCATCAGTCCTATACAGTCCTACACTATCCTCCATGTATCTTCTGCTCTCATGGGGGCCTGGGCGGGGGCTGCCCCGGCTCACGGCTGGCGGAGCCAGCCTGGCCAGTCTTGAAGCCCAAACCAAGACCCCTGGTCTGTGCAAGGGTGAGAATCGGTGAACATCCTTCCACACTCTCTCTAATTACCTGTTTTTGGGGGTCTGTGGTTAATAGTAGCGGGCCAATAATGGCAGTGGGGCAATGACAATAGATCGAATCAAGAGCTTCAAACCAGACTACATCGTCCAAATCAAACACATCAAAACGCTGCGCCCGCGGACGAAACGCCTTCATCAGCCAATGAACACCAGAACGCTGACGAAGACCCAAACGAGCTCAGAGTCAACATGCCTCTCGAAATCAAAACGCAGGGACAATGAACAATGGTTTCTAAGAACCATAACGCCGAACTTCAATTCACAAGCATTGTCCTGCATTCGCCGGAATTATTCAACTTTATCCCACACGAAAAATGAACTTGCCTGCTTTGGGTGTCTCACTTCGAGTGAAACGTGAAACACTGTGTACATGCTGCCCCAGGGCACACTCCTCGCGCGCACTTCCACACTTGCACGTGGAGTGTTGCAGTAGGTGGAGACAACACAGCAACAAAAAGGCTGCAGTCGTCCAAGGAGTGTAAATCCACCTGTGGTGGACTGATGTTCTATGATTCGAGTCTTACCAACTAAAGAATGTGTGAGTTGCAAACAAAGTCCCATCTGATCTACCACTTCCACATCAATGAATTTCTTGCAAAGGGGTTGGGAGAATGTTATCTGTAGATCACACCACTACACGTATACATGTCATCAAATTGTTCCTTGTAGTGTTTGTTTCATATGTGTAATTTATGTAACCATCAATTGTGCACATTGATGGATCCGTCGAGCCATGGACGGATTTCCAGGCGCGTGTGGCGCGCGTGGCGCACGCACCTTCGGTGCTAGTCGCAACGCACGACACACTCTGCCGGCTCAGCCCACCGATCTTGCAAGACGCAGGCGCCCACGGTGACGGTCACAGGGAAGCGGATGGGTTGACCCTTCCTGAGTGGTCAGAAGTCAGAACTCCATCAGACTGGGGCTGAAAGGGGCACTCCATCAGACCGGGGTCCACTTTCTCAAAGGGAGCCATGGACGAAGCCACAGAGTCATCCGTCCGTGTTCTTTTTGTTCTTGAAGAGTCGAGGATTGCAGGCCAGCAAGAAACAAACATAAACAATCGCGCTGTGCTCTGCACTGCGATTGTAACGACGGCTATCCGGATATCAGCCAAGTGACAAGGAGCTGTTGCTATACATAACGTATGGGTACTTGTCCTGCATGGAAGAATGCCGAGGAAACGAGTGTTTTTGATGTTTGTGTGTGTGTGCATCCCTTACGGGGCAAATTTCATTGGCAGCTGCTCCCAAAGATGAATACAATGGGGTCTACCCCAGCGCTTATCTTGTGAATGGCAAAACCAGAAGCTAGCCGTATTTTCCTGACATCCTATAAGCCTGGTGATGTCCACCTACCAAAGGTACACACGGAAACAAAGGACCCCCCTGGAAACCGGCATCCTCTCGACACTTCACCAGTAGCTTCTCTCCAGCGTCATCGCGCAAAGACACGTGCCTCTCCCAAACCTTTTGCGGCTGCGGACGGCAAGGGGTGGACATCTACAGTGAACCCATAGATGCACGAGTAAAAACAGACCGCGCTCATCCCAGCACAAATTACACCACCGTAGACCCCAAACAGGTTGGACAACAAAGAAGCATTCCCAAGTCCATTTTGTGAGACATGGGAGACAAGAAAGAAGACAAGAAGGGAGGAAGGGAGACAAGACGGACACAATGACCAACAAGAAGGGAGACAACAAGGGAGACAAAAGGAAACAGAAGGGAGACAAGACAGACACAATGACCAACAAGAAGGGAGACAAAAGGAGAGACAAGACGGACACAATGACCAACAAGAAGGGAGACAAGAAGGGA